GATGTCACCAGAGCACAGCAGCCATGGGCTCAGGCCATCTACTGGGCCTGAGACAGAGCCAGCATGGTTTCTGGAGGATTTTTAAGGCTGATCAAAGCAAAAGAAATGACAGGGTCTCCACCATGGCAGCCTGCTTACTGATGCCCAGTCTGCACACTTGGATGCTCCTTCTGGCTTCCAAGTCGCCTCGTTTTCATACAACATGTTCCTATCTTAGAGGAACAGACTTCTGCACAAGTGTTGAGTGGGGCTGAGGTTTGCATATTATCTTCTTGTCTGTTCACTGCATATACTGCGGTTACAGACACCAAAGTCAGGTCAGCAGACGTGCTGGGAGTTTGTTCCCTTTGGGTCCTGGCTCCTCCAGCAGCAAGAAGACATTCAACTTCTCTGAGACATTATGTGGCCACTCTGATTTTGCGTGAGCGCACCCACATGGGTTCTGTCAATGTGAGGACACTGTGGGACTCAGAGCAAGGCCCTGTCTCCTGGACCCACAGCAGGGATATGCGACATCACCACTGTGCCTTTACTAATCCTTAAAAATAAAGGTAAGTCTGGTATGCAGAAAACATTTCGATGTTTTCTTACTGATGGATTTCCAGGATTTAAAAATTGACAAGCTCCCAGTTTCTCAGCATGGCTCTTCATGGCCTGGTCCATGCTTGACTCCTGACACCATTTTCTGACCATGCTTTCTTCTCTGGCTCCATTCAGCCCCTGCCCTGGCTCATCTCTCAGTGTCTTGTATTCACTGGACAGCTGCTTGAAGTTTCCATGAACTTACAATCATTTATTTTTCTGATGATTCCTTCTCATTCCTTCCTTCAATCTTTTGGCTCAGTTCAACTGTTCCTTCATCCTACTGTGTTCATTGTACTTAATCCCTGTCCCCAACTCTGCATTTCAAACGTCACTTCTATTAACTCCTTTGCTGTGCTGCCCCATGGGTACTGGGGAAAGGGCTTCTCTATCTGTGGCTTTCATTAGAACTTGGGCTCCTTTGGGACAAAAACCTGGCATCTTCCTCATAATATATGAATCCTGAACAAACACGTGACTATGGACAAGGAAATAGAAATCCTTTTCACACATAAAGCCTTTCAGTTTGATCTCAGCTATACCTGACCCCTGACCTCTACTCATCCTATCCATAAGCTATTTGCTTATTTGAATGCTTTGGCATGGCTCACATTGCTTGTATGCCCTTCATCTGTTTTAGTTTTCCTGACTCACTTTTAATTGCATTCTGTACAAAGCAGGTGTTTAATAATTGCAATATGAGTTCTGCTTACATGTAATATCAATCATGGGAATTCATTTTGGGGTGACTTCCCTGAAGAGTGCAAAAAACTCAGAACTACAAAGAATGGCCACAGTGTGTAGGAAGAGGACACGAAGTAACAATATATGCTCTGGTACCCATCAGGTTCCTTTCATATACCCCTTCATTGCCATGCAAAATTGAGTTAGTTGCCCTTTCTAAAACCCAATATTCTGCATAACAGTGACAATAGTAACTTCCGTGCCAACATCACGAAGGTAGAATAAAATTGTGGAAATGTTTAACATATTGCCTGGGACATAGTAAAAACTTAGCCACCGAAACCTCTTATTAGGGTGTCATTGATGCATAAGTCCAACCATCTGTCACAGTAATCATACAATGAAAGTATTAACTTGTCTAGATTTTTATACATTTAGATTAGTAACATCATCCATTTGTCTCATTCTGTCATGGAGTCCATGAGATAGCTTTTTTTTAAAAAACCAGATGAATCATCACTCTTTCTCAGAAAAGAAGCAGAAGTCAAATGGTTCCTCAAGGTCATTCATCTTGAGCCCTAAAACAATGAACTAAGTAAGATGTTCACTCTGCTAGGACACCGCCTTGTATGAGGTCCGTGAGTACAGACTTTGATGATGAATCAGAGGACACACCAAAGCATTACATCACTTCAACTCTGGAAGAGGATTTGTGAATTAAGCCCCTTCACAAACAATCACACTTCTTAGAATAGATCATCTTCTGTGTAAACCGGTTCTCTCTGACCGCTAGAAAATTCCTTTTTATGTCATTTGATTGCTAAGGCAAATGTATTTCAAGTTGAAATGGATGTTTAAGTACAGTGATTTAAGGAGTAAACAGTGCAGAATCTTTTCAGCTGAGAACAAATTGTTGAGTAAAGTTGACCACTAAATAGCAACATTCTCTATGCTGTATGGTAGGGTCCACATACAGGTTTGGCAGACGAAGGCATATTAGACCAGTGGTACTGAGGGATCTGATTATTCACCAAACCATGCCTCTATCCTCAGCTCTTTGGCATGCTTTGCCCCTGGGACTTTCGTTACCATAATGTAAGTAGGGTACCATCTGCTATGAACATGCCCAGGGTAGATTGCTGGAGAGATACAAGAGGGAGCCTGGGGTTGTTTCCAGTTTCCCTAGCCTGGACTGTTTTAGAGCCACTGATGCCTAACTGCTCCCTAACACGCGCGCGCGCGCGCACCCACACACACACACACACACACACACACACAGATACAGAGAGAGAGAGACTGTAGGGAGATCAGAAAAAGAACCAGCACCTTCGCCAAGTCCCCTGCTGTTCATCCAAAGCTATGTGAGCTAAGTGAGGCCAGCCAGCACTAAAGCATCCACCCAGCTGGCCCGAACACTTAGCTAAATAACGGCATATTGTTCTAAGTCAGGGAGATTTTAGGTAGTTTTTTTTTTTTCTACAGCATTGTTGTGGCCAAGCTACAAAAACAAAAGAAAAAGCTATATTCTGCAGCAAATAAATATTACTTTACAAGAGCTTTTGACTGGAGAACTCCATTGAGCTCTAGCACAATTACTTAGCGATTCCAGTATTACAGAGCAGAGAACAGAAATGTTCTTAAATTATTAATTATCTCATCCCAGAGGTCCTAAAGTACACAACGAAATTGCTTTAAAAAACTATGTTGTGTAGTGGGAAAAGAGTGAACAGCATTATGACAAATGACTGATGGGTTTTAGCGGAGAAAGACTGCATGCAGGTGGAACTGATTCTTTGGGGTGATGTCGAATGTTACTATCTCCAGTGTCTTCCTCATCCCTCCCTGAGAAGATAACTTTTACAAAAGTAGAGCCTTCCAGTTTTCTGTTGAGCTATTTACCATTCTGTGAAATATACAAAGGATAAGAGTTGTGGGACATGAGTCTTTTTTTTTTTTTTTTTTGCTTTCTGTTTCATTTGCTTTTTATTTATTTATTTGTTCTGTTTTGGGCAATTGGGAAATTATTAACAATTGCTGAATGTTGATTTCTAATATTAATGGAAATACAAACAGAGTGGCATAAGTTAAAAAGATAAAAAGGCTATTTATCAAAATAATTTAATGGCTAAATATATAAATCTCTACATTTCCCCCTTTTTTTTATTCTGTCATAACCTTAATTCTTTTTTTATTAAATCTTTTATTTTTTTTATTAATTACACTTTATTCATTTTGTATCCCCCATAAGCCCCTCCCTCCTCCCCTCCCGATACCACCCTCCCTCCCCTTTCTGCATGCATGCCACTCCCCAAGTCCACTGATAGGGGAGGTCCTCCTCTCCTTCTTTCTGATCTTACTCTATCAGTTCTCATCAAAAGTGGCTGCATTGTCCTCTACTGTGGCCTGGTAAGGCTGCTCCCCCCTCAGGGGGAAGTGATCAACGAGCAGGCCAATCAGATTATGTCAGAGGCAGTCCCTCTTCCCATTACTATGTAACCCACTTGGACACTGAACTGCCATGGGCTACACCTGTGCAGGGGTTCCAGGTCATCTCCACAAATAGTCCTTGGTTGGAGTATGAGTCTCTGGGAAGTTCCCTGTGTTCAAATTATCTTGTTCTGTTGCTCTGCTTGTGGAGTTCCCGATAGGAAACAACCTCGGAACCCGCTACAGAGGGCCTCTGAAAGCCAGAAGAAAACAGGAAACAACCTTGAAACCTGCCACAGAGGGCCTCTGAAAGCTTCTGCAGTATAGACTGTCAAAGCAGATGCTGAGCCTGATGGCCAACTGATGGGCAGAGTGAATGGAATTTTATGTAAGAAGTGGGAAATAGTAAGAGCTGGAGGGACATGAGTCTTTGTATCTGCTTTGAAAACACTGCTAGTTAGAGTCTTTCAGATGCACTCAGTAGACTCCTGTCATATGTTCAATGCACATCCCATCTGTCTTTCTAAACTAGGACTGATCATCTCACCCCATGTCCATTCTCTTGATTATCTTTTTTAGGTGTATAGATTTCATCGGATGAATGGGGAGGAGGTCCCCCCCATCAGTGGACTTGGAAAAGGGCATGGTGGAGATGAGGGAGGGAGGGTGGGATTGGGAGGAAATGAGGGAGCGGGATACAGCTGGGATACAGAGTTAATAAAATGTAACTGATAAGAAAAAAATAAAATTAAAAAAAAAGAGTTGCGGGACTTGTGAGTCAATGCAGAGCTTAATTCAAACCTTCTATTTTCATTACAGCATCTCAAAGTTAGTTGCCTTCTACTGGGCTTGCTGTTCATAAGTCCGAAGTCTCCCCTCTCAGTTATCTGAAGCAAATTAAGCCTGCTTCTACCTGGGCTGCGCAAGGTAGGTGAATTCTTGCACAGTCTCTCTTTCCTTAAGATAGTTTCCTGGATGTCCTAGTATACTATCTGTTGCTATGATAAATGCCATGACCAAAATTTTCCTGCAGAGGAAAGGGTTTATTTCCCTTCACAGGTTGCCGTCCATCATAAAGAAAGTCAGAGAAGGAAACTGGAGGCAGGAACTGGCTTGTTCCACTTGCTGTTTTACATAACTCAATACCATCTGCTGGGGAGTGGTGCTGCCCAGAGTTGGCTGGGCCCTGCAGGAATCTCCACAGGTCAATCTGATAAAGATAATCCTTCATCAAAGTTCCCTCTTCGGAGGTGACTCAAGTCTGTGTTAAGTTGACAAAAACTAAGCAGCACCCTTCTTTTCCAAACCCCTCTCCCTTCCATCATGTGGGTAACCAGGACTTTTCAGACCTTCTGGTCTGTCCAGACTCAGTTCATTTTCCTCTCCACTTAGGTTCAGCTTTCTCCTCCCTGCTGGGTCAGCTATCACTTGTGCATCCATTTTCTCACTTCCAAAATGTTGACATTTCTCATCTGAAATCACTTTTTGAACTATTCTCTTTGGCATTATAGATTTTGCTTCTAAACACCCTTGTTTTATTTTGAGGAGTGTTTAATAGGGACAAGAGAATGAAAGGAGAAAACTGATATACTTAACCTATTTTCTTTCATGGAAAAGCCCCTCTCCTTGGTTTTAAGTATGTGTGGAAGTCTTCTAAAAGTTCTTGGCATCTTCCTAGTAGCCAGAAGGTCATGACTTCTAATTATGGGAAATATTTTAAGAGTGTAGAGGAGCTTCTTGCATAGAAGTTAGAGTCAGGAAAATTCCAACTTGAAAATAAGAGTATGATTCAACTACTCCCAAGAATTCTCTGGATAATTATATTCAGTACATTTCCCGTTACTTCTCCAGATAGCTTGGGGACTTTGCTACTGCTCCTTAGGGACAGAGCACTCCAAGGATTTTCTTGTGATTTTCTCAGTCTCCTAATGATATGATACCAATATTGAAGACTGACACTGACATCCTAGCTTTAATTTAAAAACCTCAAAGCCTTTAAATCTGTAGAGAAATGGACAGACACCTCATCTCCCACCATAACTATGCTCCACAGCTAGAAGCGTACATTGCTTGACAGGTGACAACTTAAGCTTTCTCTGCTCTAGGTAATTATAGACTCCCTCTTTTCAACCAATGCTACTGTCTCCCATGTAATTGGGAAGCCTTTCTGCATATGTAAGCAGCAATCATCATATTATGGAGACCTGATACAACCGAAGACCAGCACAATGAAATGAATTATCTTGGGATAGTATTATACTTAGTAGGAAACTAAACCCACCAATGCATTGACAATGCTGTGCTCTGAGTCTGATTATCCTAAGTGTGAAGAGCCCTTTCTTGCTTAAAACAAAAGACAAGCACTATGCCTACTCCACAGCAGCACCACATGCAACTGATTCCTTACCATGAACTCTAAGACTCAATAATAGTAACTAATGAATATCTTCCATGCCACAAAGGCAGATACTCATAGATGTAACTTTACCATTTAGTCAGTACTTCCTTTCTTCCTCAATTAACTTTTCTTCTTTGCCACTGGTGATTCCATAGCTATTTTAAAGTGAGATCAGCTCTAACCAGTAAAGAAAACTACCTTTATTTTGCTTAAGCTCCTATAACACTTTATTTGTCCCTTTGTGACTGAATGTCCTCTAGTTCATTGCTAAGTTATCTTGTCTGTGTCTGTCTCCCTCATGGCTTTAGCAGAGCAAGGGGAAGAGTATTAGAAAGTGTACAATGTGTAAGCATTGTCATCAAACTAGACAGTGAATGAAGTTTTTAGGTATCTTAAAACCTCTTTAAGAATACCATACATGCATATAGTATAGTTTGATCATATTCATATCCACCTCCTCCCCTGTCTCCTTCAAAATTTACCCCTTCCATTTATTACTCCATCCCAACTTCATGCTTCCTTCTTTTAATAGAGCTTAGATCTGCCACTTACCAGCCCACTAATGGAAGTGAATTTCAATTATCAGACATGGAAATAGAGAAGAGAAATAGTAAAGTATCCAGTATTAAAAATGTTATAATTTGCTTTAAGTAATCAGCATATTCCATAACCTATCTTAAATTATCACAATATTATTCTTCAAAGCCTGGATCACGTGCCACTCATCTTTTGTAGTCCAGTGCCCTATACGCAGAAAACATCCAGTAACTTTCCAGTTTGCAAACAAGGGGGTGAATGAGTAACTCGGTAAGAGACAGAAGACTTTTCCAACCGAGGGTAAACCCTAAATGTGTTGCATGATTGAACCGTGCAGATCAATTTCCTATACAATTCTCATAGACAGTAAAGCTTACAAATGATCATTTAGCTTTGAGCTCAGGTGATCTTTACTTCTGAGGACTTGGTGTGTGTAGAACTGAAGCATCTACATCTTCTTTGGTCATTTTTGCAGCCACACACACAAGACACCAAAGCCATCCAAGAAAATGCCCATCTCACATTACTCAAGGCCTCTGAACCTCAAACACACACTCACACCTAAAATGAAAAGCTAAAATTCAGACCTAGCCCATTTTATTCCCAGAGCTGGAAGAATAAACATATGTTACGTGCAAAAGTATTTTTGCCATCTTTTAAGACCCATGCAAGGGCTCCTGTTTCTGTGTTTATTTGTTTGACTGATTGCTTATTTGTAAAGGCTCGTTTCTTGGCACTACCTGAAAATTCCTATCCAACTTCAATAATATCCACATTCCTTCAAATATACTTAACAGATTGATTCATGGCCACCAACAAAATCTGTTGCTGTTATGGTACAAAACAGAGCTCCACAGTTTTCTGTAGTAAAACCAGAGAAGGCCAATAAAATGTTTTCATTGATTGCAGTGTCAATTTTTAGATGCTGCAACAGCTCTGAACCAGAGACATCTTTTAGAGCCCTGCTGTGGATTTCCTGTTTACGGCCTTGGGATCTAGTGGGTAAATAACGCTTCTGCACTAACACTAACCTGAAGAGACAGACCTCTCTGGAGGACCATCTCATCTTTATGCTTTTCCAACCTGAGGCCATAAATCCTATCAGCCTGCAGAGAAGGAACATCCTAAAGATTGCAGGGCACAGAGGCGCTCTTTGAATGAGCCTAGCTAATAAAAATTAAAGTTCAAAGTCACCCGGTAATCTAGGACACTCATTACACCTGCACTGAAACAGTCAGGACTGATCAGCCAGACAAGCATGAGGCTGGTGAGGACACAGAAGAAGTAAATACCTCAAGATGCACCTTGCCTCTCCCAGGGACCTCAGTGTTGGGGGATGCGGATAATATTTCAACCAAGTGTGCCTTAGAAAGTACTAGAGGTCTTTTTTTTTAAATTCTTTATTAATTACATTTTATTCACTTTGTATTCCCCCTGTGGTTCCCTCCCTCCTCCCATTCCAATCCTTCCCTTCCTCCACCCTCTGCATGCATGCCCCTCCCCAAGTCCACTGATAGGGGAGGTCTTCTTTTCCTTCCTTCTGATCCTAGTCAATTAGGTCTCATCAGGAGTGGCTGCATTGTCTTCTTCTGTGGCCTGTCTTCTTCTGTGGCTTCCCCCTCAGGGGAGGTAATTAAAGAGCAGGCATCAGTCAGTTCATGTCAGAGACAGTACCTATTCCTATTACAATGGAACCCACTTGGATACTGAACTGCCATGGGCTACATCTGTGCAGGGGTCTTAGGTTATCTCCATGCTAGAGGTCTTAATAAAAAAAATCCTACTCTGTGTCTCTGGATTTGAATACAAATAGATGGCATATTCATAGCTTATTCATCAAAACTCCAGGTACTGGTTAAATATCATCATGATAGCCAACATGAACTAGAAATGAGTTACTTCAATGACTGAGACAGAAAATCATAAGTGTCCTGGATAGGCTCACATATTTGAATACTTGGTCCTCAGTTATTTGAGGTATTTGGAGACGTTGGGCAATCTTGAGGAGGTGTTGTTTTGCTAAAGAAAGTATGTCACTGGGAACCCATAGTCTTGCCTCTCTGTCTGCTCTCTCTGCTCTCTCTCTCTCTCTCTTTCCTTTCCTCTTCTCCTCTCTTCTCCTCTTCTCTCCCCTCCTCTCCCCTTCTCTCCCTCCCATCTCCTCTCTTCTCCTCTCTTCTCCCTTCCTATCCTCTTTACTCTGCTTGTCATTAGCCAACTTTCCTGATCTTGGAAAATGCGCACAGTCTTGTGTTCCTTGTCATTATGGATGCTAATGCTCTAGAGCAGTGAACCAAACCAAACTCTTTCTTCAGTAAATTTGCTTTTGGCCATGGCATTTTATCACAGCAACAAAAAGCAACTAATATTTTGACGTTTTTAAAAAAGCTTTAGTATAAGATGTAAGACTTAAGACTTGGGAAGATAAGAGCCTTTCACAATAAAGTGAGGTGGACTGAGTCCAGACAACTGTCATTCCAAAGCTGTGACAGGTCTCTAGCTGTCTGATCTACCTCGCTGTTGACTAACTGAGGGGCATAGGAAATACACTGGGGCCAGATAATGGTATGCCTTAATGGTTGGTAAAGAGGGGAAAGGCTACCCATTGAAAGCCTAGGAACCAAAATCAATGTTCATACCAACAGCCTTGAACAATGGCACGATGCAGCCAACACTGCCCCAATTAATCTGGCAGGGCTGTGCACATCTTGCTTTGGGAAAAGAAGACAATATGCCTCCTTGCATCCCTTCCTGCACACTTGTGTGAAATCACAGGTCAGGGGCTCTGGTAGCCTCGGGGGATAATCTAGTCTGCAGGCAAGGAAATATAGATTGAGTCTGGAAACATCTCTCCTTCTTCCTGAGCTGCTACCTAAGATGAATGGGGAGAGTCTATGTAATTGCCTGGTTTATTCACAATCACATATGTACCTTTCCATGAATTATTAAAATTTGTATGGGTGTCAAATTAACATGTGATTTTAATATTGCTTCTGACATAACTCTGATAATGTAACATAGACTGAAATATGGGCACATCCTTTCATTTTTCATTTCTTCCTTCCGCAAATATTTATTGAGTACTCTGTTAGCTACAGCAGGGACTAAGAGATAAAAAGCACAGCTCTGCACTCAATTTTCTTACCTGCTAGGTGGTAGAGAGAGAAGAATAAATCATTCCTTATATTTAGTGCTGTGCTATTTCTTGAAAACTGATTGGTGTGAATTTTTTAGCATTTACCTATCAAAATGAAACAAGCATGTGCCTTCGACTCTGAAATACTGTAGTTTGAGATGTAACCTGAAGTCAGACCTGCAAAAGTTTACCAGGGGTTCTTCACTGCAGCGTTAATAAAAACAGAAAGTTACAAGAACGACACATGCATAACTAGAAACCCAGGTACAGTAGTGACAAAGCCCCA